CAAATATTTTGTTTTTCCAGTACAGTGAGCAGCTGTTTGGACACAATTCTTTCTAGAATCTTTGCAATAAAAGGCAGTTTTGAAATTGGTCTAAAATTATGGGAGGGAGGGATCTAAACCAGGTTTCTTTAAAAGTGGGTTCACGCAAGACGTTTTAAAATAATCAGGGACACAACCAGTAGATAGGGAGCTGTTGAAAACAGAGATCAAATGGGGCCCAACAGAATCCATTACTTTCAGTAAAAACGTTGTAGGTATACATCAAGTGGGCTGGAGGACACTCTCATTTGTGATACTGTTTTTAAAAGCTCAGACAAGTCGATGGGATAAAACTGGCTAAAACTCTCTTGTTGCTGGTGAGGGACCTTGAGTAAGAGGCCGCGGGGTAATAGAGGCTCTGATTGACACCACCTTATTGGTAAATAAAATAAAAAACAATTCACAGTCATGATTACTTCCAGCTGAGGCACAAGGAGGGGTTGGGTTTACCAGCTGATCCACAGTCTTAAACAGAAACCTGGGATTGTGTTTATGTGTAGTAATGAGTTCAAAAAATAGTGTGTTCTCGCATCCTTAACCAGTTATTGTATTTAATTAATAAATCCTTCAGACTGAGGTAATGGACTTGGAGACTGGATTTTTCCATCTGCACTCTGCTGCATTCCCTTTTTAGGCTGCGAATGCTGTCATTTATCCAGGGTTGCTTACTAGCTTTAGACGTAGGCCTAACCTTTAGAGGAGCAGTAATATTTAGTGACGACAAGCAGATATGATTGAAGTGATCGACCAGATTGTTGGTGTTGGAATCAGACAGGTGTTGGCTTTGGCTCTGAAAGAATGCGCAAAACTTTGAAACACTTTGTTCAGAAGAGCGAGAACACACGGAGCTTGGTGAGGCGGCATGAGTAACAGGCGAATCGCAGCTAAAAACAATACATCTGTGGTCAGATATGGTCATGTCCACTAATTCCACAGAGGAAATGTCCAGTCCAGTGTATGACCACGGTTATGTGTTTGCCCTTTGACATGTTGTTTGAAGTTAAAGAAGTGGTCATATTTAAAAAGTCAGTTGCATTAACATTGGGGTCATCAACATGAATATTAAAATCGCCACAAAGAACAATTCTGTCATAATTTAAAACCAGAGTAGATAAAAATTCAGGAAGTTCTGATAAAAATCCTCCAGGGTTTTGGGGGGCGATAAATTATAACAAATATGATAGGTTGCAGCCCTCCAACTTTAAGAGTGAGAACTTCAAAGGAGTTAAATTCATCACAGCGTACTTGATGACATTTTAAATTTTTCCTATACACGCTCACTAGCCCACCACCACGACCACTGACCCTCGGTTGACTAAAACAATCATATTGAGGCGGACACAGTTCAGCTAGCTGGCTATAGTCATTCATTTGCAACCAGGATTCAGTTAAAAACATAAAATCTAGATTTGCAGACAAGATAAAATCATTTAAGATAAAAGTCTTACTTGAAAGTGATCTCACATTGAAGAGAGCCATTTTAAATGAGTTTGTTCTGGGTGCTGGAGTTGGTGCAGTTGTCCTAATCCTTAAGAGATTACTATATTTCTGTGTGGATGTGCACATTTCGGTTTACTGGTCTATGCGTGATGATGACAGGAATAGAAGTCTGTGGAACAGCGCTGGGAGCAGACGGCTTTACATGCCAGCAGGTGGAGACAGTTGTTTGTGGCAGTGAGGCAGAGATCTGTTCAGTGAGCGGTGGTGTGTCCAGGTGTGCTGCATGAATGTGAGTCATTCACGTAAGTCATGTGTGGACCGCACCACATGCTGTATGTGCACAGCTAACATTTCTGAGCCCCGTTTGTTTGGGTGAAGTCCGTCTGTCTTAAAAAGAGACATTCTTTGCCAGAAAATATTAAAATTATCCACATAAAACACACGGTGAGCCCTGCAGGCGGACTGGAGCCAGTCGTGGAGGCCAAGGAGTCTACTGAAGCGGCCAGCACCACGACCGACTGTGGGAATGGGACCAGAGATAAAAACGGACTTTCCGCACTGCTTTAAAAAGTTAAAAAGACGGTTAAAATCTGATTTTGTCAGCTCAGACTGCTGAAGAGCTGTGTCATTTGTTCCGACATGGACTATAACTCTAGTGATGGAGGACGGGAGCGACGGCATCAGGTCCTGGAGTTTTTTTAAAAATGACAGCCGTGGTGGCACCGGGGAAGCAGCGAGTGGTAGCGTTAAAGAAACGGATGTTTCTGGTTATGGAGTCACCAATTATTAGTGTGGTTGGGGAGAAAAGAGGACGAGGAGATGCGGTTGTGGGGTTCCAGAGCAGGACTGAGCAGAATCTGCTTCAACACTGCGTGCGGACTGAGGATGGAGTGTGTGAGCTGCCGAGTGTTGTGTTGGAGTAGCAGTAACAGACCTGAGAGAAGGGCTACCCGACGGTGCAGGGTAGAGACGGCCTCCGGAGCGTCTGAGCACAGCCTCCTTCAGGATCCTACGTCGGGAAGCGGAGGTTTTTGACCGGGTTTGACCGGCTGCAGACTGGCGGCCCAGTGCAGGAGATGTAGCCGGTGGAGGAGATGCAACAGTGTCGGCAGGCACTGTGCGCCGAAAGAGATCCGTATCAGGGATCACCACAAACACCCAGTCTCACATTAAAATGTATCTCAGCTACACTAGTCCACATTGCAAAACATAGTTTTACAATGACCGCTCTAAAAGTGTGTGGTTGTTGCATTAAAAAAAAGGGGGGGGGGAGTTGCCTGTTTTTCTCTCTTCACATTTGGCGTCCAATTCACTTGACTCTCTCAAGTCTCCTGCGTGAGAACAAAAAACATGACGAACATTTCTCTCATTTACCTGCTGAATCCCACCGGTAACCAGCCAAAGGTTGTGACAGCAGTAGACCTGTGGGGGACAGCAATTTGCCAGCAAGGCATCCAGTCTTCCAGAAATACAGAAAAATGTAGAAGGTGACCATCGTTACAGTTTGTTTAGGCCACAAAGTTCTTCACTTCAGCATTTAAGCGATCTTAACGTTGCGGTTTGAACATGCTTTGAAAGCTCACTGCTTCCATTTCATGCAGTGAAAGGACTGTTTGTGTCAGTGTGCATAGGGTTCGCGTGCGTATGTCTGCTGTGAACAGTTAGTTCACAGGTGGAAAGCTGTGGTGGATAACTATGGTTGTGAACTCGGTCTCAGATTCAGAGCTGTGCAACGGAGTGATTTTATGGTGGTGCAACAGTCGAGATCCAGAGAGAAATATTGCTGGAGGAAGAGTATTTTTCACAATGAGGCCATTTTTGTGACGTGAAGGAGGAGTGGAGCAGCACTGCACACCATTTCATGTAAGTGTTTAATAAACACAATGCTTTCTCTTCACCAACCAACTTAACGTTAGTCAGTTCATTAAATAAACAGTAACCAAAGATTTACAGAATGTTATTAGGCCTTAGTAGGTATTAGTGAAAATAAAAGTTGCTAAATGAACTCCTTATGGCCTGATCAGACACAAAGTGCGCTGCGGTTTTTTTATGTTGCTTGGCAACCACCGAATCAGCTGTCCTGTCAGTGTAATCAAAGATTATAGATCTGTAATCTTTGATTTGCTGCTAAGTAAATTAGCTGTCAAATTAGCAGAAACTTGATCACAACTCACAGGTCTGTGTCTTTTGTTGCTAAAAACATCTGCTTTAATAAAATAGACAAACGGAGGTTGCTCTGGCATTGTTTGAGGGTGAGAGGTGTACAAACAAGCTGGAAACAGGGAAAGGGTACATGAGACCCTCAGAAAGTCTCCTGACAATCCAAGCAACTTTAAACTTCCGTGAGCCCGTCTCTCCATTCATTTGATTGGACAATGTAAAAAAACGCGAATGAGGTCAGGCGCTTTTCTGCTCAGAGTTGAAATTTTTTCAACTTCTTGTGCTCCTTCGAAAACAGCCTGCAAAACACTCACTGCCCATTGAAAGCAATTATCGGGCCCTTATAAGTTAAGATCGATAGCAATCCTAACATACCTTATCAAAATATATGTTCTGTTCAGCACATTTGGCATGTTAAACCAGTCAGGTGATTCTAAATATTAACTTCCATTTTCACTTCTACTAGGTTCCTGGTCGGGATTAATCCTGACTCCAGCAAATGCGGTGCCAAGGTCTGCAGAAGCCTGAAAGCTGGAGGAACTATAAGGCAGAAGATGTCATACAGAACCTAGGCATCATCTTCACAGAGTTTGACAAATAACTAGATGGAGGTGAGGATGTGATAATAATGTGTCTTTGAAAGATTTTCCTCAAGTGGTATTTTTCCATGAAGATATATTCGGTTTGTATTAGTCCAAGTTTTGAGACCTTAGTCTCAATAATATCTATAATTGAATTGCTACCGCAAATAGCAATATTGTCCACAATAATCGCAATATGAATTTTTCTCCAAATCGTGCAGCCCTACAGGAAAGTTAGAATAAAATATGATTAGATGATAGCATTTGTACCTACTGTATGTATAAATATAAAACATAATACTGGCTGTCTAATTGAAGCTGAAGATTGCTTTTGACAGCTGTTAATGGCCAAGAGGCTTGCTGATTATCCACATGTTGGTGGAGTTTACTTGGTTAGTCAGGCCAGTAGAAAAAATGGATTTCTGTGGACTTGTTAATTGCATGCTTGCAGTGTGTCAGCAGTCACTATGCTCGTTTTTATATTCAGACACAGCTTTGTATGCTCCTAAATGAATGTTTCAGATTTGGGTACATATTTATCAGGAACCTCTCTTAAAATACAGGGACACAATTATTTTAACACTGATTTTAAATCACTGATTTGAGTAGCAAATATCTCAGCTGTTCTCAAGTAGTAGTAGTAGTTGGGTTAGCAACATCAAGATTTACTTGCAGTAGTATGAGGAATTTATCTGTTGCTAATGGCTATAACAGAGGTTTTCAATTGATGCAGGGACATGATGATTAGGTTTATTTCTCTCCGGTTTCCCCTCCTTTGGGCTCCTTGTCTATTTGTGATGACACCACAACCGTCCCAGCTGTTCCAGTCCCAACCACTGGTTCACGTCCTTCCTCTGACCCCAGTCCTGCTGTTTCCTTCCTTAAGGTCACGAGCTGGTCAACCCATCTCCTCTGAATACCAGTCATATGGATGCTGGTAAGTGCGCCAGTGTATTGTTTGGCATTAACAGTGAACTGACTTACTTTTGTTACTTTCTCCTTTTTTGTATCCTTTCTTTTTTTTGAAATGTTATTTTTATTAATAATTTATTTTGTCATTTAGTTGAGTTGAAAGGGAAGAAGCCAGTACGCCCTGATTGTTACAGGCACTTTATCCCTCGTTTCAAGAGCTCCACTCTTGATCAGGTAAAAGAGCATGTTGTATAATGATCGACTGTATCAGTTCAGTGAGTGTGAGATTAGTTAGTTTGCTGGCTCGTCTTAATGTTTTCTCTGATCCAGGCTGCCGTGGCTTCCCAACCAGGAGAAAGGGCATAAAGCTGAAAGCAGTGATTGGCTATAATGGCAACGGGCGTGGCAATATGGTGTGGAGCCCTGACCAAGGTTATCATATATACTCAAATTAAAAGTAAAACAAAATATTTTTTGGGAACAGTTAAATGCTGGCTGTCAAATCCAAGTGCTGTATTATGTGAGCAGTGAAATATGATTTAAACAGCTTCTTGTCTGTGTTTAGTCTTATTCTAATTAAGATTAAATAAAGATATGAACTATAGCTTGGACACTGTCCACTGTCAGCTGTTTTAAAAAAGGGAGTGGTTATTGTTTTGCCCTATCCAGTGATCGATTTAATAATGTGTCTTTGAAAGATTTTCCTCAAGTGGTATTTTTCCATGAAGATATATTCGGTTTGTATTAGTCCAAGTTTTGAGACCTTAGTCTCAATAATATCTTTTTAAACTACTTTCACTGTGTCCTTGAGACTACATTGGAACTACTTTTCACTGAAGAAATGGTCTTTATAGATCTTTGACAGTGAAGTGGGAATTTTCAAAATTTTGAGCAAGAGAAGAGGGGACAAAATCACTCTTAAAGGGACAATATGTCGACAGTATTTAATCCTACAAGCAGTATGTACAAACTAATAAACTGCACAACATAGGTATAATTTATGGTGTCTAATAATGACCACTGAGTAGGCCTATTCAAGGACTGGAGCGCTGACATGCTGACAGGAATCACAGCAAGTATATTCCCATTACAGTAGTGTCTCTTGTTACATGAATAGCTGGTATTCAATATTACATTAGTATGCAAACCCCCTTTTGTTAAGCTGCCTTGGGTACCTTGAAAGGCGCTATATAAATTTAGTTATTATTAATATTAATTATTATTTATTATTATGCGTGGTGCAGACCACCTTCAGAATCAGCCTTCATTTTTTATCTCAACTATACACTTGTAAGGTTTTATAGCTGCATCTTCATGATTGTGATGCTATCATGGTGACAAACTTTGTCCAAAAACAGACACACATTACAAAATGAGTTTACGTTGTAGTTTCTGCTACTGTAGGTGTCTTTAAGATCATATTTTGCCACAATGACGCAGACAAACTCACAATTTGAAAACAATACCAGCTACGAGGGAAAAAGTGGTTGAATAGCTGTAGCAATGGGTTCTAAAACCTGGTATTAAATGGACCATGGGGCCAAGTTATGAAAGACCGAAGTGTCAATAATCTCGGTAATAATCTCGGTACTGCCAGCGGTATTGAAGAAAATAGGACAGTTGTCTGTGATGGATTTTTGCTTCTCCCAATCCTTGTTGTGTTTAATTTTTTCTCCTAAAAAGGTAACAATATAACCGATAACAGATTTATTAAAGTACCAAACAATAAACAGTATCATTAAGAGTAGTAGCACCTTTTTAACTGGAGAGGGTTGACTGTAACCCAGAAACCTTTTGAAAATGCTACATATCTTTCAAAAGGTATGTCCCCTTTCCTCTTTTGTGTAGAATAGTCCATGACTCCAACTCATGAATGCAAGATTTCCAAATTGATCTACCACAGGTCTAAGAAATATCACCAAAATGACTGTCCTTCATACACTTCATTTCTTATTCGTTGTTTATCTTTCAGGGATCTGCTCTTCATTTTGCTGTGGAACAGTACTGTGAAAATGACAGACTGAACGGTGATGTAATCACTAAAATCCCGATAAGCAAGGAACCACAGACTTTTTTTTTTTTTCTATCAGCAAGTCACCTTTGTTCAAACATGGGAAAGGGTGTGTTCTCTGTGCAATTTGGATTTGACTTTGGAGATGTTGATGTTAACCTTTAAAGTTACATAGGTGAAAAAGTCAAAAAAAAAAAAAACAGATGCAGATGTTTGGTCCAAATTTGATAAGGTATACGAATTGTTAACTATGCACTGTATACTAATCTTTATTGTATACAATTTTTGCAGTTAGCATTAAGGTTTTTAGTAAGATATAACACCCAGGCCTATTTTTTCCTGGATAAACTTTAAAAACACTCAAAACCTGATGGGAATTAATATCTAGTATAGAGTTGGGGCCTATGGTTGGGACACAGAGTTCCTTTTTAAGCTGTCTACCTCAAGTACTATATTTATTTCAGTTCTGTCACAGTACTTATCTTATTGACACCTTACTACCTCCCTGACAGTCCCAAAATGTATGAGTGTATGGGCTTTGGTTCAGAGGAATTGCCATTTATGCATTTGGTTGTTTGTATTCAAAGTTTTTTTAAATACTGTGTTTTATGGAAGGGAAATGATAATGTATTAGCCAAACAGTGCCTTTTTGACCACAGAATGTCTCTATATGATTTGATAGAAGAAATGGCGTTATATTTATTGTGTTGACTTGTTATTGCCACTATTTTTAAATATGCAATCCTCTGTTTTAATCCATCCATTATTTTATGGTTTGTAATATACTGAATATGTTAATAGCTGCTTGTCACTTATGCACATTTTAGAAGACATGGACGATGATTGTAAATGTAATGGAAGACAGAATTCAGTGTATTTGCTAAATACTTTAAAGCACTAGAAAAACGTTTGGCTTGTTACTGCTCAACAGTCAGTCAAGAATAAATCCTTACATTTATTGTTTGATGTCTCTCAGTTGCAGTTATTTCTATTTATAAAATGTGGCAAGACTTTTAACATGCAGTAACTTTTGGCAGTTATTTACTGTGATCTTTTTTTTCACAGTAAGTTGCTGGTCAATTGCTGCCAGTTATTTACTGTGATTTGTTTCACAATAGGTTTCTTACAGTGTATAGTGTTCTCCAGAGGGCTTACATTCTTGGTACTGATTGACAATGTCAGTGATTTGATTAGTGGAACATGAGCAGTATCTATTACTTCAGTTGACCTTTCTCACAGCAGACATTTTCACTTGTCATACTAGGAAAGGTTGCTGCTACTAACATTAACAAGAGCTTTATTCTATTCAAGTGTCCTACTGACTCTGTCTGTCCCAGCGGAACATCAGCTTCCCGCTGACTGTTTAAAGCTGGGGTATGCAACATTGGAGAAACTAGCAAGAGATTTTGAAAGTATCCCAACCAAAAATACCCCACTCCCTCCCTTCAGGCCTCCCTCCAAAGCCACTGCCCTCAAAACACTTGTTCATGGGCAGTGAGCGCAAGGGCACAGTGCTGACAGGTAGGTTGGTAGGCTTATTACAGTCCTGCGACGGCCACAGATACCAGATTGACTGTTTAATTCTCTTTTGGAAAACATGCACAATAGTGTTTTTATCATTATAGTTTACTTTACTTCGACTTCAAATTTCATTTCTTTTTGATATCACCGCGGAGCAAAACAGTTGAAATGCATCAATTTTCAATGCCAATCACGAAATCAACAGCTGCGCTTCAGATACATTTTCCGAAGAAAAATGAAGTAGCCCTGCAGCGGTTATTTTTACACTGAAAACCAACCAAAAGTCCATCTGTACAATTTCCTCTCTCTCATGCCCTGATTCACACACACAGGGGGGACAGGGCTGCTTTTTTGGCAACCAGTTAGTTTTGTTGTTTTGAATAGTGTTGTAGTTCCCTCTCATGTGGCCATGGGGTTGCTTCTTAGTACACACCGTACAGCATGTTACTGTGTGTGTGTGTGTGTGTGTGTGCTGTCAGGAGAGTGTGTACTGTAGGAGCACAGGGCTCAGCTCCGTTATAGCTATGATTAATGGCCTAAATGAAACACAGCTTGGACATGAGGGAAAATGATGTCTTGCACGGCCTGTCTTAAATAGAGAGATTCTATTTACTGTTGTCTCTTTCCTTTCCTCTGTGTCTTTTCGGTCTGTCTCTCTCACTCTTTAATCATTCTCCTTTTTCATATCGTTTATGAACTCGTCCCCCTTGCGCTATTCCCTTCTCTGTCTTTTTGTTCTTTTGATTTTCTCTCTGTCTTCACTCAGCCATCCATCTGTATTTCCGTCTGTATTTCACTCAATGCCAGTTCTTTTCTGTCTCAGTCTATCGTTCTCTAGTCTCAATTCTCAACCTGTCCAAACTTATTCACTCTCACATATATTGTCTCATCATTCGCACTGCTCACCCCTGTCAATTTATTTCCAACTGTCATCATACTGCGTTCATTTACATGCTGTTATCCAATGTGTTTAAGCTTGTCAGTTTCATTTGTTTCTGTCTGGTGAATGTTCAGTCCCTGGAGGTTTTTCTATTCCGCCACACACAAATCAAATAAATTGTAATAATTTTTTTGTTTTCTTTATTCATTTCATTTAAAGGAAGGGTGGGAATTACATTTAATTGATATCTGTATGAGAGTGAGATGAGAAAATCAATATCACACAGAGTCAGGGAGTGCTTAGCCTAGCTTAGCATGAAGCTAGGCTAAGCACTGGAAGGATGGGAAAATAGCTAGCCTGGCTCTGCCAGTGTCACCTAACACATCTGCTGTCCACACAATGGATCTCACTTGTTTATACATTTCATTTTATCTATCTGCCCAGTGTGGATTAAAAAGACGTACAGTGTGTTGAGTGAAGAGATTAAGTGTTGGAAAGTATATTTTTTATTTTAGGCAGGGCCAGGCTTTATGCTAAGCTAGGCTAATAACCTCCCAGCTCCAGATCTGTACGTAACACACAGATATAAGAGTTCCATCAATCTTTTAGGGTTCTAGTTTTCCACGTGCAGCATACAAGGTGACACTGAGGGTCAAACTATAAAAGTAGTCTGAGGTCTTTAGACTGTTTCTGAGTCAAACTTTACAGATTATTATGGATGACTGCACATACAGAGCATGGCATAACACTTGGTAAGAAACGAGAGTTAATAGACTATGCTGGAGAGGTGTTTCAAACTTTATAAAGGATTTGTTTCCATCAACACTCTCTCCAACACAACACCATCTGCCCAATGGGTTCAGGCATACAAAAAGTTCAAATCGTCATATCTTTAGTTTGCAATGTCTCCAGATCCATCCAGAACAAAGAGCCT